TTCTGCTTTCCTTTCACAGTACAACAAGTAGAGAGAATATGAATATCCTGCCAAGGTTGAGCTATCAAACACCACAGGAAGGACCTGAAACCCATCTGTAAACCTCCCAGGGTCCACCGAAAATCTGCCAAATCTGTGTTGACACTGCATTAGGTCAGTCATAGAGAAAGGTACATGGCTTTTAAATTTTCCCATTGAGTCCCCACTGGCTACCTTCCAGGGTGGGCAGAGTCGAGGCATGGTACCTGTTTGGGGATGGTAGGAATCCTACTCTAAGTGTGTCGAGCATGACTTTACTCCATCAACAGCATGGTCCCCTAGGGGTGTGACAACTGCAGAAGGTTTGAGAGTGCCTGGGGTTCAGGGTTAACTAGAGACGCAGGTGTACTGGACGAAGGCGGACTGGCCAGTTAAGGGTCCTTAATATATCTGTAGAATCCTCCTCTTTTTGGACTTAAAGAGTCTATTTTGGTCAGGAACATTTGACACACATGCTTTGTTCAAGTTTGAGTCCTGTTGCTAAGCCATAAAGGCCAACATGTATGGCACCTCAATCCATTTATTGTATTTCCTACAATTGGGCATATATCGTGGTCTCCCAGCTGGTAACAATAATGAACTTAAGTATTTTTCAAATCTTTGAGGCCTAATTTTTCCAACTAGGAAATAACCTAGAGCAGAGTCCGCAGGAATAGAGTGAGCAGACTCCATCTCAGATGGGTGCCTGAGAGAGAGGATGAATATCATACAGTGGGGGCAGCCATGGGTGTGCCCCCAGGGAGTGCTCGTATTTTTGTGGGCATCCCCAACCTGAGGAGAAACTCCCCTGGGCCTGGGCGTCCCCAGGCCCCCACTTACTATCTGCTACTGCTATTCTCTCTTCTCTGGGTAGAAAGGAAGGCTGTGTCAAAATTTGGAAACTTTAAGAGATATTTGTCCAAGAGGAAGGAGCATTTGAAATTGTGTAGCTGTGGCTAGTCTTTCAACTGCTGACATTTGTACAACATCACAGCATCTCCTTCAGTGATGGGATATTGTCCCATAAATCCGATGTCCCACCAGAATATTATTAGGCATTAGGAAGTCTCAGACCTGAGAATATTTATGGTCCTTTTAAGACAAAGATGTTAATATTTTAGGAGTTTAAAGTTTGTCAGGCTGGCAAATGATTAAACAAGCATTAGACAGATTGAAAAAATAAGAACAATCATGTAAGACTTGATACTGTTAACAAACGCGCATCTCAGTTTTCCTCAGCCAATAGAGGGAAACAGTTTGAGGGGGAGGAGGGAATAATTTTTTTCTTTCTAAAGATTTGTTTCATGTATGCATACAGACCTGGAGTACAGGCCAGGGGTGTAGGACCGGTGAGAGGATTCGCCAGAGGCAGAGCAGGGAGCAGAACAAGCAGATGGACAAAGTACACTGCTTAGGGGAGCAGCGGGCGGTCCAGGAGAGGTCTGCTGTACCATGTGGTCACCTCCCTGGCCAGGGTTCAACGTCATGCTGAACTGATGCCGAGGGGGACGCAGGAGCGTCACAGTGCTGTGCTTTAACCTGTAGGGAGGGCCCGTCCTTGTCAGTGAGTCAGCAAAGGGACAGAGTTTTCCCTGAGGAAAGGAGTTCAGGGCTGTGGGACTGAGCACAGGAGAAGGCTGACAATACTTAGGGATCGGGTGAGAAGAAGGAGTGGGAATCTTTGGCTGTAATCCCATGGCAGATAAATCCTGCTTCTGGTCTCTGTGCCTCAGGTCAAGAACATGAGTCATCAGGGAAAATTGTCCAGTGTGGTCAGGTGCTCCAGAAACCCCCTTTTGGGTGAAGAACTTTGGTGTCTGGATGCACTGACTCCCAGAGCGGCACCCACGCTGTGTACTGGGACCTGACACTAAGGGGTGCTGTCACCCAGCGCTATGAGATATGGGTGCCCGGCACTGCTCCCAGGTCCACTGCATCCAGATCCTGAAGTGAGGGTGCTGTAAACACGTGCCCTGGGTGGTAGGCTGGTAGTCAAGCAGTTCCCCGACTTCTGACCAAGTCCAGTGCCTACCTGGTCCTGTATCATCATTACAAACCACGCTTCACAACCAAGCCCTAAACCTTTCATCACTTTTTTATTTTAACTTTTAAAGTAGATTTTATTTATTTATTTGTGCGTACAAGAACTGGGGTGTAGACCAGAAGTGCAGGTTTCTGTGTGTGTGTGTGTGTGTGTGCGTGTGTGTGTGTTAGAAGATTTACCGAAGATTGGGGAGCAGAGCAGGCAGATCTACTGACATATACTGCTGAGGGGAGCAGCTGACAAGCAGGAGAGTCTACTGTGCCCTGTGGGTCAGCTCCCTGGCTGGGGATAGTCAGGCCTCAGTGGCTGCCTCTAGCTTGAGTGCTGAGACCTTAACTCCCAGCAGAGAGGCCCCAAAACACCTTCTTTTACATGCACAGCACTCTCTATCATCGCTCTGCACTAGTAAAGCAGTGGGAAACTTGACTGGGTGTAGGGAGGGGAGAGGACCCACGGTGTGAGAGGGAGCCAAGGAGAGGGGACACATCACCGCTGGTGTTGAGACTAGAGGACCATGTTCAACAGAAGGCAAAGAATGCCCCTGGGCACTAGAGATGGTCCCGAGATGCTTGTTCCCCTTTCCTGCCCTCAGTCAAAATGACCGACCCACTCATTCCTCCCTCCAGAGTTTTCTAGGAGAGTCCAGGGGCAGGGATGTGGAGGGGGTGGGGGGAAGTCAGGGTTCCAGTTCAGGGTCAGGGAGAGTGACCCTGGAGGGCAGTGGAGGAAGAAGGGCTGGGCACAGCCTGGGGGGCTTTCCCAGGAGCCCCCCGGCCAGGCTCAGGAGACAGTGACAAAGAGCTGTCCCGGCTGAGGACAGTATTCACGGCACAGCCCAGGTGCAGGCTGACTCAGGGTGGTTGGGCTTGGAGACACTGAGCTGGGGAGGACTGTCTTTTTTTTTTTTTTAAGATTTATTTGTTTAATGGTAGCAACCCAAATGCCCCAAAGAACATGACTGGATTAAAAAGATACATATATACAATGGAATATTACTCAGCAACCAAAAAAGAGAAAGACATGTCTTTTGCAGCAACTTGGATGGAGCTGGAAAAGATCATGCTTAGTGAGATAAGCCAGAAAGAGAAAGAAAAAATACGGGATTGTTTCACTCATAGCAGGAGTATAATGTTCCAGGCAAGAAAATAACAAGAATAATGAACAGCCATATACCGGAGACATTTTGTGGGGGTGGGGTGGGGAATAGGATCAAAACGAGGGGGGTTGTGTGTGTGTGTGAGAATTGCACTGGACTTTGTTGATGGCACATGGGTGACTTCATGATGGGAAGCCCATGGGGATTACAATTGAGATGACAATAAAATGTACAAAATGATGTAAAAATAAACTATTATATCATTAAAAAAATCTTTATTGGTTTATGCATAAAGAACTGGGGACCAGGCCAGAGGTGCAGGGGTGGTGAGAGGATTCACCTGAGACACAATGGGGAGCCAAACAGGAGGATCTACTGAGATACTCTGCTGAGGGGAGCAGTGGGTGGGTCAGGAGAGGTCTGCAGTGCCTTGTGGGTCTGCCGCGGACCGGCCCTAGCCAGGGCACCGGGACCGAGGGAGAGACAGGGTCTGAAGACAGGAGAACGGGATTCAGCGCAGGAACTGACAGACAGTCACACTCAGAGGAGTTGATGAACTGCTGCGATTTTATTGTAATTTGTGTAGATTTTTATACAGAAAGTACAAGGAAACTAGCGTTCGTCCAGGTAAGTTATACATTGCCAGATGCTGACATAATCTATTACTTTTTTGTTCAAAAGAAAGGGCATAAGACATCCGTAACCAGGGTGCTAGACATGTGGTTTCTACCTTAGACACAAATTTCATTTTACACGCTTCAATTACAACAATGTGTTGGCTCAAAGTTCTGCTAACTGATTCTGAATATTGAGTGTGAGAGTTCCCAAGAAGTGCCTGTAATTCTACAACTTCCCGTTAGTCCCACGTATCTTCTAACAATAATTTTTTTGATGTAAGTTTGTCCATGAATGCATCTA